TCTACAGCCTCAGTCCTGGAGCTACAGCCTCAGTCCTGGAGCTACAGCCTCAGTCCTGGATCTACAACCTCAGTCCTGGAGCTACAGCCTCAGTCCTGGATCTACAACCTCAGTCCTGGATCTACAACCTCAGTCCTGGATCTACAGCCTCAGTCCTGGATCTACAGCCTCAGTCCTGGATTGATACAGCCTCAGTCCTGGATGGATACAGCCTCAGTTCTGGGTCTACAGCCTCATTCCTAGATCTACAGCCTCAGTCCTGGGTCTACAGCCTCAGTCCTGGGTCTACAGCCTCAGTCCTGGGTCTACAGCCTCAGTCCTGGATCTACAGCCTCAGTCCTGGGTCTACAGCCTCAGTTCTGGATCTACAGCCTCACTCCTAGATCTACAGCCTCAGTCCTGGATCTACAGCCTCAGTCCTGGGTCTCTACAGCCTCAGTCCTGGATCTACAGCCTCAGTCCTGGGTCTACAGCCTCAGTCCTGGATACAAAACAATAATAAAAAATAGAGGCTTAAAGTCCAGCAATAACAGTAATCTCATGATAGTTGTAGACGGCTTTAGTGCCTGGTTTCCGAGAGTCACAAGTACTAAACCAAATCCTTTAATCGATCAAACTCTTTGGCGTCAAACATCCAGCAGAAAATGGTTTAAATAAGCGAAAACCCGTCACCAACTGTCACATGTCAAACACTGAGATTTATCTGAAACAATAGTATGATACAAAGACTGAAGAGGCGTAGAGATCAGCGAGAGGGAGATGGAAGCAGAAGGACTGAAACTAATATGACTATGAAGCGAAAAGAGTGAAGATGCAATCCTTCAGTCATAAGCACAGCTAAACAGAACTGTCTCACATTTTCAGGAAGACTGTTCCAGATTTAGCAGCATGAACGTGAAATGCTGCCTGCTCATGTTTAGTCCTGACTCTGCGACCAGCAGGAGGCCAGTCCCTGTGCTCCTCAGAGTCCGAGTTGGTTCATACACAGTAGTGCTGATGCTAGCCTGATCTTGGGCCCATTAACATTTGCTGCACCAAAGCAAACACAAATGTCAACAGTAATCTAAAATAATAATCTATAATAAACATTTGTCATTCATAACCCAAGTGTCAGAATGACTTCAAAGGGAGCAGAGTGCATTCTGGGAGTTCTGTCCTTTTAAGTGTCAGAGCACTTTCTTCAAACGTACGTAGATGACAGTTTCTTTTCTGCTTCTTCTTGAGGAAAAGGTAATACAGTCTGAGCTGCATCTCAGAGGTTTACAGAGACGTGATGACGGAGAGAAGAGAGAAGGCGTGGGCTGAGGAGGACTGTTGTTCGGTTGATCTAAGTCTATCTACATCTGAGAGAGACAGAGGGAGAGAGAGAGAGAGAGTGGGGGAGAGAGGGAGAGGGAGAGAGAGAGAGAGAGAGAGAGAGAGTAGGGAGACAGAGATTTTTTTTATTTTTAACAGACCTTTATTTGTCTGAGAGGAGCGAGAGAGAGAGGGGAGAGAAGGAGGGGGAGAGAGAGAGAGGGGGAGAGAGAAAGAGACAGAGATAAATAGAGAGAGAGGGAGGCAGTGAGAGAGAGAGCAAGAGAGAGAGAAAGAGAGAGAGAGAAAAAAAAGGAGTGGGACCAAAGAATGAGAGAGAGGAACAAAAGAGAGACCAGAGAGAGAGAGAGAGAGAGAGAGAGAGAGAGAGAGAGAGAGAGAGAGAGAGAGAGAGAGAGAGAGAGAGGGGCGTGGGTTGTGAATAAACAGTGGTTATCTCCATCCCTCCCTCCAGCTTCAGGGGCTCACAGCGTCCAAGGCCTTTTCAAGTGCCAAGAAAAAAAAATCACCCTTTTGAAAGAAAATATCAGAACATTCTCCGCAGAGTTGTCTACGCTCGCCCACGTAGAGAGAGGAGAGAGAGAAGAGGGTGGAGAGGGAGAGAAGAGGGAGAGAGGAGAGGGAGAGAGAAGAAAGAGAGAAAAGAGAGGAGAGGGAGGAGGGAGAAGAGAGGAGAGGGAGAGAAAAGAGGATGAAGAGGGAGAGAGAGATGAGGGAGGAGAGATAGAAGAGGATGAAGAGGGAAGAGAGAGGAGAGGAGCAGCAGACTTTCCAGGAGCTGTCTGGACTGGCACGGTCTGGTTTAGTACAGTCTGTGGAGGGGGCACAGGTGCTAGTACAGTCATGAGGTCATCTGGCTCTCAGGACGCAACAGCGGGAGAAGAGAGAGAGAGAGAGCAGAATGAGAGAGATCAGTGAGAGAGACCAGAGATAGACCAGAGAAAGACCAGAGAGAGAAGAGAGAGACCAGAGAGAGAGGCAAGAGAGAGACCAGAGAGAGACCAGAGAGAGACCAGAGAGACACCAGAGAGAGACCAGAGAGAGACCAGAGAGAGACCAGAGAGAGACCAGAGAGAGACCAGAGAGACACCAGAGAGAGACCAGAGAGAGACCAGAGAGAGACCAGAGAGAGACCAGAGAGAGACCAGAGAGAGACCAGAGAGAGACCAGAGAGAGACCAGAGAGAGACCAGAGAGAGAGACCAGAGAGAGAGAGGACCAGGGAGAGACCAGAGAGAGACCAGAGAGAGAGAGAGACCAGGGAGAGACCAGAGAGAGACCAGAGAGAGACCAGAGAGAGACCACAGAGAGACCAGAGAGAGAGACCAGAGAGAGAGACCAGAGAGAGACCAGAGAGAGAGAGACCAGAGAGAGAGAGACCAGAGAGAGACCAGAGAGAGACCAGAGAGAGACCAGAGAGAGACCAGAGAGGACTGAGGCTGTAGACCCAGGACTGAGAAAGTCAGTGTATAACATTAAGCCGATATTACGCTGCTCTCTTGTTGCTTGTTCTCCCTGTGCCCCTGGAAAGTTTAATCAAATCCTAAAGTTAAAAAGGGCAGACAGAGACAGAGAGTTTTGGACCAAATCTCTTACACAGAAGCATTGACTCTCTCTATGTGTCAGTGTGTGTGTGTGTGTGTGTGTGTGTGTGTGTGTGAGTGTGAGTCAGTGTGTGTGTGTGTGTGTGTGTGTGTGTGTCAGGCGAGTCGCTTCAGGGAGATACATGCACTGTTTCTTTGACATTATTCTTGTGCCTTGTTCCATCTTCTCCCAAAATCATTCAGCCTCAGGGTTAGATTTCAGACGAGAAAGAGAGAGATCAGAGAGAGAGAGGGACCAGAGTGAGACCAGATAGAGAGAAACCAGAGAGAGAGAGCAGAGAAAGAGGAACCAGAGTGAGACCAGATAGAGAGAAACCAGAGAGAGAGAGTAGAGAGAAAGAGGAACCAGAGGGAGAGAGCAGAGAGAGAGAGGGACCAAAGTGAGAGAGCAGAGAGAAAGAGGGACCAGAGGGGGAGAGCAGAGAGAAAGAGGGACCAGAGGGGGAGAGCAGAGAGAAAGAGGAACCAGAGGGAGACCAGAGAGAGAGGGACCAGAGTGAGAGAGCAGAGAGAAAGAGGAACCAGAGGGAGAGAGCAGAGAGAGAGAGAGAGAGAGAGAGAGGGACCAAAGTGAGAAAGCCGAGAGAAAGAGGGACCAGAGTGAGAGAGCAGAGAGAGAGGGACCAGGGTGAGAGAGCAGAGAGAGAGGGACCAGAGTGAGAGAGCAGAGAGAAATAGGGACCAGAGTGAGAGAGCAGAGAGAGAGGGACCAGGGTGAGAGAGCAGAGAGAGGGACCAGAGTGAGACCAGAGAGAAAGAGGGACCAGGGTGAGAGAGCAGAGAGAGAGGGACCAGGGTGAGAGAGCAGAGAGAGAGGGACCAGAGTGAGAGAGCAGAGAGAAAGAGGGACCAGATTGAGACCAGAGAGAAAGAGGGACCAGAGTGAGACCAGAGAGAAAGAGGGACCAGAGGGAGAGAGCAGAGAGAGAAGGACGAGAGAGAGAGAGAGAGAGAGAGAGAGAGAGAGAGAGAGAGAGCGAGAGAGAGAGAGAGAAACCATGACCTCTCTCTCTCTCACACCTGACACAAACACACATTACTCAGTGCAGGTTTCTGAGTTGAGGGAAACAGAACTCTACCTAAAAACCTTGTATTTTTAGATGTCCAGATGCCTGTACCATTTATTATTCCACCGGTTTCTGTTTGTTTTGCTTGTGTGGTAAATAATTCAGTTTGACCAGTGCTCTCTCCTCGAGCACATTAGTGGTTTGAAAGAAGCTGTAGGAACAAACAGGACATTTCCAACACATGTGCTGTTTGTGTAACGTCATAAATATCTGCATTGGTCTTTTGTGTTGCACTTCCCTTTGGGGCTTCGTTGAGCTAGCGGGTTAGCATTGTCCATCTGTTTACAGTCTATGATCCAAAGATACATGAACTACAGACACAGAAGCTCTGATCCACGGAGACCAACGATCTAAATGCTCTTTCTCTTTTTCAATAGAAACAGAATTTATGTTGAAATTCTACAGAGAAAGGGATAGAGAGAGAGAGAGATAGAGAGAGAGACAGACCAGAGAGGGAGAAAGGCCAGGAAGCGAGAGGAAGACGAGAGAGGCCAGAGAGAGAGAGAAAGAGAAAAAGAGAGACACTAGAGAGGGAGAAAGGCCAGGGAGCGAGAGAAAGAGGTGTGAGACCAGAGAGAGACCACAGTGTGTGTCTGAGAGAGAGAGAGCCCAGAGAAAACAATTCCACAGAGAGCGAGACCAGAGGAAAAGAGGGACAAGAGTGAGAGAGCGTCCACAGAAATCAAAGAGAGATCTCAGAGAATGAGACCAGAGTGAGAGAGAGACCAGAGAGAGACCAGAGAGATGAAAGGGACCAGAGAGAGACCAGAGAGAGACCAGAGAGACGAGTGGGAGAGAGACAAGAAAGAAAGATACCAGTGATAAAGAGGGACCAGAAAGAGAGTCCTCAGAGACCAGAGTGAGACAGAAACCAGAGGGAGTGAGAGACCAATACAGACAAATATGTACAAATGTATTGCATAATAACCAGGTACTTTCAAACCCCGGAGGAGTCCAGTACAAACACATCTGACCTGAGGCTGTGTGTAAGTGTGGAGTGACAGAAGACTCACCCCTCGCCTCCCACTTTGGTGATCTTGAGCCTGAAGTCCACCGAGTTCAGGTTTGGGGGTTTCCATTTGAGGATGTCGTCACAGCGGCCCGGCTTGTACCTCTGTGGGAGACACACAAACACACACACACATGTAACACAATGTCACACAAGTCTCAGAAGAATAATCAAAAGACACAATGATTAGAAAGGTCTACGGCAATAAGTCAATATTTCATGATTTCAGCCAGAGATCCTAGAGACCAGAGAAAGACCGGAGAGAGACGAGAGAGAGACTAGAGAGAGACTAGAGAGGGACTAGAGAGAGACCAGAGAGAGAGAGACCAGAGAAAGACCGGAGAGAGACTAGAGAGAGCAGAGAGAGACTAGAGAAAGACTAGAGAGAGACCAGAGAGAGAGAGTGACCAGAGAAAGACCAGAGAGAGACCAGAGGTGGAGACTTGAGAGAGACTAGAGATGGAGACTAGAGAGAGACTAGAGAGAGCAGAGAGAGACTAGAGAGAGCGGAGAGAGCAAAACGTGACTAGAGAGAGCAAAGAGACTAGAGAGAGACTAGAGAGAGCAGAGAGACTAGAGAGAGCAGAGAGACTAGAGAGAGACTAGAGAGAGCAGAGAGACTAGAGAGAGCAGAGAGACTAGAGAGAGCAGAGAGAGCAGAGAGACTAGAGAGAGCAGAGAGTGACTGACTAGAGAGAAATCAGAGACTAGAGAGAGACAGACCAAAGACAGAGACTAGAAAGAGAGTAAAGAGAGAACAGAGAGAGAAACGAGAGAAAGAGACTAGAAAGAGAGACAATAGCGAGAGAGATTAGAGACCAAAGAAAGAGAGACTAGAGAGTGACCAGAGAGAGAGAGTAGGGGAAGAGTAAATTATACAAGTTTCAAAAAGACGAATGAGACAAAGTGAAGAACCAGCAGCAGCGTCAAAAACAACTGAACTCATTATGTCTGAAAGTTTTCTGATTAAAAAAGGTCTAGAGCCATAATTCCATTCTTCATCCTCCAGCCCCACAGACGTATGGATCCTATGGAAACGCAGCAAATGAGATTAGTTCGACTTTTGCCTAAAGTTTCTCATTCAGAATACTTGATCGTTCAAAACAGTTGGAGGCCAAGTTTAATGGAAACACTCGGATTGTCCAAAAGTTTAGTGATTGGATCGGGCTGAAGTGTCGAGAAGTTTTCGGGAAGTTTGAAAAGAAGACGGAAGTGTTACTTTATACCGAGAATTTAGATTCATGTAAGATGAGAGAGACGAGAGAGACTAGAGAGAGAGACCAGAGAGAGACCAGCGAGAGACGGGAGAGAGACCAGAGAGAGACGGGAGAGAGACCAGAGAGAGACGCAAGAGAGACGCGAGAGAGACCAGAGAGAGACGCGAGAGAGACCAGAGAGAGACGCGAGAGAGACGCGAGAGAGACCAGGGAGAGACGCGAGAGAGACGCGAGAGAGACCAGGGAGAGACCAGGGAGAGACGCGAGAGAGACGCGAGAGAGACCAGAGAGAGACGCAAGAGAGACGCGAGAGAGACCAGGGAGAGACGCGAGAGAGACGCGAGAGAGACGCGAGAGAGACGCGAGAGAGACGCAAGAGAAACGCAAGAGAGACGCGAGAGAGACGCGAGAGAGACGCGAGAGAGACCAGGGAGAGACCAGGGAGAGACCAGAGAGAGACCAGAGAGAGACCAGAGAGAGACCAGAGAGAGACCAGAGAGAGACCAGAGAGAGACCAGAGAGAGACTAGAGAGAGACACAGGACAGAAACCAGAGAGAGAGAAAGAGACCAGAGAGAGACACGGGAGAGAGAGATTAGAGAGAGAGAAAGAGAGGCCGAAGAGAGACAGTTCAGAGAGAAACCAGAGAAAGAGAGAAAGAGAGAGACTAGAGAGAGACCAGAAAGAGAAATGAGAAAGACCAGTGAGAGAGACTGGAGAGAGACCAGAGACTAGAGAGAGACCACAAAGAGAAATGAGAAAGACCAGAGAGAGAGACCGGAGATCGATCAGAGAGAGAGAGACCAGAGAGACAAGAGAGAGACCAGAGAGAGACCAGAAAGAGACCAGAAAGAGAAACTAGAGAGACCAGGGAGAGAGGAAAAAGAGAGACCAGAGAGAGAGGATAAAAAGAGAGAGACCAGAGAGAGGATAAAAAGAGAGACCAGAGAGAGAGGATAAAAAGAGAGACCAGAGAGAGAGGATAAAAAGAGAGAGACCAGATCTGCTTGATTGAGACCTCTGGTGTAAACAGACTCTTGTCATTTTCCATCTGTTTCATGTTTGTACAAAACCATCAATCTCTTGCTCTTCAAAGCCGTCGTTTGCTACATTGGTTTTTTTGTGTGTGAAGATGAAAGGATTCCGACACTGAAGGCTGTTTTTAGTCCAAACAGAACGTCACAGTCTGCTCTCCAGCTCCTCTTCACTTCCTAATCCAGTCTCAATTATAAACAGATCTGCGGTTCATTAACGCTGACTGTCGCTGAACAAGTGAGCTCTTCATTATCTCATCACTCACGCAGAGAGGACTGGTGTGGCTGCAGGTTTTCACTCCAAACACACAGACCAGACGCGTGTACGTTGGTCTGCAGGTGAAGGCGGGCTCTCTTGAGGAAATGGGTGGAGTTTGCTGAGCTCCTGATGGTTGGAATGAAAACATGCATCCTGGTTTGGACGGGTTGGACACTGGTAACGTAGAAGCTCAATGAACACCAACAGGGAAATGACCAGAGAGAGAGACCAGAGATCAGAGAGCACAAACAGAACATAGAGAGAGAGACTAGGGAGAGACCAGAGGGAGATACTAGCGAGAGACCAGAGGGAGATACTAGAGAGAGACCAGAGAGAGAGACTAGAGGGAAACCAGAGGGAGAGACTAGAGAGGGACAAGAGAGAGAGACTAGAGAGAGTCAAGAGAGAGACTAGAGGGACAAGAGATAGAGAGACGAGAGAGACTAGAGAGCTAGAGATAGAGAGACTAGAGAGAAAGCTAGAGATAGAGATAGAGCTAGAGAGACAAGAGAGAGACCAGAGGGAGAGACTAGAAGGAAACCAGAGGAAGAGAATAGAGAGACAAGAGAGAGACCAGAGGGAGAGACTACAGAGGGACAAGAGAGAGAGACTAGAGAGAGTAAAGAGAGAGACCAGAGGGACACGAGATAGAGAGAGGAGAGAGAGACTAGAGAGAGAGCTAGAGCTAGAGATAGAGAGAGAGCTAGAGAGATAAGAGAGAGACCAGCGGGAGAGACTAGAAAGGGACAAGAGAGAGAGACTAGAGAGAGACAAGAGAGAGACCAGAGGGAGACTAGAGAGAGAGACGAGAGAGAGCGAGAGAGAGACGAGAGAGAGACTAGAAAGACACCAGTGGTCGTCCTTCTCACTAAGCACCAATGGCTTCTATGTGTTTGTTATTCTTGCATTTCCTGTGTTTGAACCGATTGATTCTCTGATCTGTCGTTGGCAAATCCACAACTTTCTACAGGCTCCGAGACGACTGCGGGTGTGAATTAGGGCTGTACAAAAACACACTGAATAGAAATGAATAAAAAAGAGAATTAGGCCAAAGTGCTACGGTTCCATAAACTAAAATACAGCGGGTCTGCGGGATGTGAAGCTGCAGAGAATCTAAAACAATAATAATAATGTCAGAATATAAACAGGACACACATTTTTAAGTGCTTTCCGACGACCGGCCGTTTTTATCCCGGCTCTAAATTGTAAAATAAAATATGCATAGAAGACCAAATGTTGGATCTGGGCTTTATTTGTTTCCCCCAAAGCCTCCCTGAGGAAACTAAACGAAGAGGCCGATTTGGAGAAGACTGTAGTCTCCCTGAAGCCAGAATAAATAGTTGACTTTGGAAACGAAATGGAACATTGTATTCGGTCCTTTCAGTGTTCACGGAAACTATAATAAATAAAGTTATGTAGAAAATAAAAAAGGTCCTTAAAGGGTTTTGTAAAAGGACTGAAAGGACCTGAACGTCTGATTCTATTCAGTGCTCTAGAGTCTATAGAGACCAGAGAGAGACCAGAGAGCAACCAGAGAGAGACAGAGAGAGACCAGAGAGAGAGACCAGAGAGAGACAGAGAGAGACCAGAGAGCGACCAGAGAGAGACAGAGAGAGACCAGAGAGAGACCAGAAAGAGACCAGAGAGAGACAGAGAGAGACCAGAGAGAGACCAGAAAGAGACCAGAGAGAGACCAGAGAGAGACAGAGAGAGACCAGAGAGAGACCAGAGAGACACCAGAGAGAGACAGAGAGAGACCAGTGAGAGACCAGAGAGAGACCAGAGAGCAACCAGAGAGACCAGGGAGAGACCTCAGAGAGAGACCAGAAAGAGACCAGAGAGAGACTAGAGAGAAACAAGTGAAAGAGAGCAGAGAGAGACGAGGGAGAGAGACCAAAAAGAGAGAGAGAAACAGAGACCAGTATCTTCCCCAACAACAGCAGACATCAGTGGGAGCAGCGAACCAATTCTCCAAAATCTTTCTTATTGGTGGGACTTTCCGTAAAAAAAAAAAATCAAAATCAAATGTTAATGTTAATGGCTGTAAACCTGAGACATTGTGCATCAGTTCAAGGTGTTTCAGCACTTTAAGATAGACACTGCATTTTAGACGGTGACTTTTACTGGTCTCTCTCATGGCCAATCACTTAACGGCTGCTTCGGTGCTGAAGAAGGGAAGAGGAGAGTGACGGCGCGTCCTTCTGCTTTTGTCGGCGCTGGAGCCTGAGTGTAGGAGGCGGCCTTCCGATGTCTTTGAACACTACAAAGGACTATTCAGCGCAGCGAGGTAGAGAGCAGCCGCCGCCGCAGAGGTCGCACCGGCTCTGAACAGCCTTAAGCAAGAACATCTTTTCTGCTGCCGACGTGGGAGTGCAGCGAGCTCAGATCTGCACGAGCTCGAGGAGGCGACGGGGAACTGAGAGTGACTTATGAGAGAGAGATGGGAGACAGTGATGGGTGACAGTAAAGGGGGAGTTTTAGGAGGGAGTTGGGACATAACTTTGAGAAGGAACAAGGAAAAAGGTCTAAATCTGCGATGAGTTTTAGTCGTCGTGATTATAATGAGAATGACTATTATCCCACCAATAAGAAACAT